CATGAGGAACCTATACCGTGACCAGGAGGCTGTCGTTCGAACAGAACAAGGGGACACTGCATGGTTTAAAAATCAAGAAGGGAGTGCGTCAGGGTTATATCCTTTCCCTATATTTATTCAATCTATATGCTGAGCAAATAATCTGAGAAGCTGGACTATATGAAGAAAAACGTGGTATCAGGATTGGAGAAAGAATCATTAACAACCTGAGACACGCAGATGATACAACTTTGCTTGCTGAAAGTGATGACTCGAGGCATGATGAAGGTTGAAGAATACAGTTTGCAGTATGGATTACATCTCAATATAAAGAAAACAAAAATCCTCACAACTGGACCAATGAGCAGCATCATAATAAATGGAGAGAAGATTGAGGTTGTCAAAGAATTCACGTTGCTTGGTTCTACAATCGATGCCAACGGAAGCAGCAGTCAGGACATTAGATGACGTGTAGCATTGGGAAAGTCAACTGCGAAGGAACTGTTTCAAGGTGTGCCTGACAGAAGCCATGATATTTCCAATCGCCTGGTATGCATGTGAGAGCTGGACAATGAATAAGGAAGACCGAAAAAGAGTTGATGCTTTTGAGTTGTGGTGCTGGCGAAGAATGCTGAAAGTACCATGGACTGCTAAAAGAACTAACAGATCTGTCCTGGAGGAAATGCACCTGAAATGCTCCTTAGAAGCGAGAATGGCCAGACTTTGTCTCACCTATTTTGGTCATGTTGTCAGAAGGGACCATTCCTTGGAGAAGGATGTCATGCTTGGTAGGGTGGAGGGTCGATGAAGGAGGGGGAGGCCTTCAACGAGATGGATTGACACAGTGGCTGCTATGATGGGCTCAAGTATAGCAGGGATTGTGGAGTTGGGGCGGGATCGGGCAGTGTTTCGTTCTGCTGTGCATGGGGTCGCCATGAGTCGGAAACAACTCGATGGCACCTAACAACAACAACATAATAAATTATAAATATAATTGTAAATATTAGAATTCATTGATTGTTTTTATTTTCAGTTTTGAGTTTTTGTCATACATTTTTCTACCTTGAGATTTTCATGATGCAACATATGTATACATGACTTTTCTCTTTTTTCTGTGCACATTCACCTCTCGTATGAAGCGACAAGATCTTTAAGATATTCTTCTGAAACATGAGATCTCATGTTTATAGAAAATAACTATAGTTATTGGTGTAACATATTGATTAGAAACAACTCCTCTGTCTCTTTCTCCTTCTGATACCTCACACCCAATTCACTATCCTCTAAGAAACGTTTGTGGAACAGAGATATAGGATGTACAAAAAGTAAATAAAACAGGTAAAGCATGTAATAAAGCAGAGCAGGTACTTCCAGTAGAGGGAGATACTGGCAAAATTATCAGGCCATATAATATGCAGTTGTAATTGTCAACAAATTAAAAACAAGCTTTCCTGTATGAAAAATGTTTGGCTAAATTCTAACTAAATATAATTTGAGTAACATTGTGGTTGCTGTTTTATCCAGCTGCAAAACCAAATCTCATTATACAAGTACATAGAGAAAGCACTAAGGAGCTCTGGTTGCATAGTGGTTAAAGCATTTGGCTGCTAACGAAAAGGTTGTCGGTTCCAATCCACCAACTGCTCTGACAGAGAAAGATGAGGCAGTCTGTCTCTGTAAATATTTACAGCCTTGGAAAACCATATAGGCAGTTCTACTCTGTCCTAAAGGGTCACTTTTAGTCAGAATTGACTCAGTAGCAGTAGGTTTGGTTTTTTGGTTTTAGGGAAGCACTTGTGTTGTTATGTCGGACCTGACTCATAGTGACCCCTCCTTGATTTTCCGAGGCAGTGTCACTATGGAAGTAGATTGCCCCATCTTCCTTCCAAGGAGGGAAGCACTATGAGGACTATATACACTGTTGTTATTGTCACATAACTTTTCTCATGTATTGTTTCAAAGATGGAAATAAAGACAAGATCATTGATACCTCTCTGAATCTCCAAAAATAACATGGCCATTACAGGATGGCTTGCTTGAAAACGAAGGAAGTCTGTCCAGTAGCTGCATTTCCATAATTCAAAAAATTTTTTTCTTGGCAAACTGTTGCCTGCCCTAAATGACATAAATTATTGGACTGGATCAAAATACTACTCCTTTTTAAAAAAGCAATCCTTGTTAAAAAGATAATGTCTTTGTAATTTAGACCTCTAAATTTTTGAAATTATCAAGAGGCATATAATGTAAAGCAAAATAATAGCACTTAATTCAGATTAGATTAGAGGTTTTTTCCCAGACATTTTCCTTCAGCATAGTTACATTGATTGGGACCTTTACTTTTCCAACAGAAACATCACGTTTCTTTCTATTGGCAACATTGTCCAATAACTGACTACTGTAATAGTCCCTCTGCAAGCTGAGATTTAATACTCTTATTCTATCACACTCTCAGAAATTGCTGCCCTGGAACCTGGGGATGTTGAGACTGCCCTTAAACCTGAGAGTCTCACTTAATAGTTGTATGAGTTTTCCCCTCTGTTTCATGCCTAAATATTTTGATGTAGATTTTATTACTTTTGGCTGTGTTAGTAAATTTAGTTTGCCAAATGTCCAAAGAACTTTATATGATATATAAAGTGTATCATAAAGTCACCGTATAATTTTGTAATGTAAATTTTTATTTAGTTGATTCAGATATGACAGTTATACATCTTTGACTATTTTGGTAAATATTACCACCACCTTAATAGAAACCCAAGGAGGGGTCACTATAAGTCGAAATCGACTCAACGGCAGTGAGTTTGGTTTGTTTGGTTTAATAGATAAAAAACCAAACTCATTGCTGGGCATCAAGTTAATTCCAACTTATGACTACCCCTAGTGTTACAGAGTAGAACTGTGCTATAGGATTTTCTTGGCTGTAATCTGTATGGGGGACCTCTGATGGCATAGCACCTAAAGCATTTGACTGCTTACCAGAGGCTGATGGTTCAGACCCCCCGGCCTGTCCTCAGAAGGAAGGTTGGGCAGTCTATACGGAAACAGATCACCAGGACTTTCCTTCCATAGCGCTGCCTGGTGGATTCAAACTACCAGCCTTTAGGTTAGTAGTCTAGGGCTTAACCCTTTTCACCACCAAGGGATCTTAAATATTCAATATTATTTTAGAAAGATACTAGCTTAGACATGCAGTTTTTACTTAGATTTCTACAAACATTTGTTGGTTATCTTGCTTTTGATTTTTGTTAGGCAACATCATTATTCTTTGTGTTATATGGATTTTTATAATTTCATAAGTAACTGCGGAGGATCAGCTATGCTAGAGTACATGTCATAGCATATAGTATGGTTTTTCTGATGGAGCCAGAATTTTTCCTGGTTTGCACCCTGCTTTCATAAGGTGAATATTTTACATAATTCAGTTAAGAACTAGATGTTTTTCTTTAATTATAAAAAATAATTTTTAAACAGATTTGTCTTCCTTATCAAAAGAGTTTCTTTGAATTACTACAGACAAATTAGAATGTGTTTTTAGAAAGGCCTGGTGGTCTGCTGTGTAAAGATTAGACCTAAGAAATCCCTGTAGGGCAATTCTAACACATGGAGTTGCCATGAGTGGGAATCGATTTAGCAGCAACAGATTTGATTTAAATAAATTAACATGCCTTAAAAATGACCATAGAGAGATGCAGTTGAGCAAATGAAAAGCAAATCTGTTATTATGCCTGTGTGTATCCTTTAGAGTAGATCAGCCTATACTGCGGTAATAAGCTTAAAAACTCAGTGACTAAAATCAACAAGGTTTATTTTCCATATAGGTGGCATGTCCATTGTAGATTGGCAGGTACTGTTCTTCCCAAGGACTTAACCTGAAGAAGATTCCATTTTAACACATACTTTACTTCTATAATTAAAAGAGCAAAGAAGGGGCAGTGAATCTTCTGATACTCGAAAATTTTATGCATGGCAGTGGTACAGTTTGCTTTGGAAAGATACAGCTGTACTTGAGTTCAACAGAATATAAGAGCTTCACACAGAGAGGGGCACTTGATGTTTGTGAACAATAGACAGTCTACTGTATTATTCTATGAGTGAGCATTTGGAAACTGTTGATGATTACTAAATTTAGAGTGTCTAGGTTAAAATTGACTATGGGGAGATTGGGCAATCTACTTCCATAGAGATAACACCTCGGAAACCCAAGTACGGGTTGCTATGAGTCAGAAACAACTCAACGACAGTGAATTTTTTTTTTTCCTTTTAAAATGTGAAGAAAGCTAGCTGTTTTCACCAGATTATAACGTGATTGGTTTTATTACTCATATTGATCATGTATTGAACATAAGCATATCCCCATACACAACAGTTCTACATGGTCCAAATGAGACTGGAACTGTTTTATAGTAACATTAATACCACTGGGGATATTACTGTTGTTCTGAATAGAGTGTGGATAGAGAATAATGGTTTACAGTTGCTCGGGCTGAACTCCTTTAAATTCAGTTAAATTTAGTGACCGCATTACTGTTTAGCAAGATTTTAAAAGTTGTTTTTTTTGGGGGGGTGGGGGGTTCCACATGGGAAAACAAAAAAAGGAGAGGCAAATTTTAATTGGGTTTAAATACATAATTTTATACAATATTAAGAGAAAATATGGGGCTAAAAATACCAAATAATTTAAATAAAGCCCAGTACCATCAAGTCGATTCTGACTCATAGCAACCCCCATTGGGTTCTGAGGCTGTAAATCTTATAGAAGTAGATTGCCTCATCTTCCTCCTGTGGAGCAGCTTGTGGGTTTGAACTGCCAACCTCTGGTTAGCAAACCAAATGCCTTACCCACTATGCCAGAGCAATAATAATGGAACCATTAGAGAAATATTGCCAAAATTCAAACCAAAATGACAGCCATATGTTTTGTTATTAAATTCAGTGTTTTTTATTTTTTAAATTTTAATCTGAGTTTTTATCAATTATTTATTATTATTAACATTTTTATTTTTGTCCTTATTTCTTTTCAGGTATTTATTTCTCCAAAATATTCTGTGAAACTTCCCAGAAACTGGTGAGTGTGGAAGCCTTTGCTCTGGCTGCGAAATACTATTCTCTACAAAACTTGGGAATATGTACTCCTTTTGACCAGTTGCTTGTAGCCCTTCAAGGAAATCGAAAACAGAGAACTGGTATGTATGTGTGTGTTTTATATATACTTAGAAGCTATATATTGTTCTTGTTACTCATCTTTCTAAAATATTCTTAATTCAATGTTAGACCTTGTTTCATGAGCCCTAATGATATAAATTAAGTTGTGCCTAGACAAGTTGGAGAACAATTTAATTGTAGATCTCCATATTTTTTTACTTCATTAGCCCTTGGTAATCTTTACTTTAAGTTGTTCCTGCCTGCAAAACACAGATTACAGTGGTTACTATGGATTCTAATTCTTACATTCATTTTTGCTGACGTGGTGGGCACTATTACAGTGGGCTAATGTTCTCCACAGCCAGTTTTTTGGGAGGAGGCCGAGGAAAGTGGAGGGGGCTGGTAGGGGATATGGGGGAGATAGGTGGGTATCAGGAGATAGGGGTGATACCAATAAGAAATAAATAGCAACATGGTAGTGAAAACCCAACCACAGTGATAATTACATTAAATGTAACTAGACTGAACACTCCAATTAGAAGGCAGAAATTTGGTAATTTGGTTTTGTAAAAAAAGTTTGTACTGAATGCTGAGGTGAGCAACCAGCTTTAATATTAATACTGAATCTCGGATTCTCTTTGGTATTGTTTTGTCATCCACAAAGCTCTTTCATATTCATTATCTCATTTGATCTTATTTCCCTACTTTTTATTTTGGAAAAAAACCCAAATATATAGAAAAATTGCAAGGATAATACAGTGAACCCTGTGTACATTTCATCTAGATTCACCAGTTGTTAACATTTTGCCATATTGGTTGCTTTTCTTTCTCTAAACACACGTGTGCACATGCACACACACATTTTTCTTTCTGAAGTCTTTGAAAAGCATCACAGATAGTATAACACTTTACCCCCAGATACTTCAGAATGTACCTTCTAAGAAAAAGGACATACTTCTATATATCACATAGTATGTAAACACACTCAGGAATTGTACATTAATATAATAATGTTTTCTAATAAGCAGCCCATATCCCAATTTTTCCAAAAATATTCTTTATGGCAATGTTTTTCTTATGTAGGAAACAATTCAGGCTCATGTGTGAACATGACATTTGGTTTTCATGATTTTTTAATCTTAGACTTTCTTTGTTTTTCTTGATACTGATACTTTTACTGCATACAGACCAGGTATGCCTTGTTGTTTTCTCATGATTAGATTCAGATTATCCATTGTTGACAAGTATACTGAAATGGTGTGTCCTTTTCATTGCATTACATGTGAATTTCATGTGATGCATGTGAATTTTTCTCTTATTGGTGATGATTTGCTCAGTTAGTAAAAATGGGTCCACTGGACTTCTCCATTATAAACCAAAGCCCAAACTCACTATCATCGAGTCGATTCCAACTCCTAGTGACTCTCATTGGGTTTCCAAGGTGATAAATCTTTACAGAAGTAGATTGCCCAGTCTTCCTTATGCAGAGTCGCTGGTGAGTTTGAACCACCAACCTTCTGGTTAGCAGTCAAATGCCTTTGGCACTATACCACCAGAGCTCCTTATAAAGGGACCTTTTCCCCTTTGAGTCTTATTCTTAATTATTTGTACTTCTCTTTATATTTCATTAATCATTAATCATTTTAAGCAATTTTAAACATTTTAAACAGCAAGACCTCCATTTAAGCAAGTTTATTTCATAGTGGTTCCTCTGTTGTTGTTGTTGTTGTTAAGTGCCGTCGAGTTGTTTCTGACTCATAGCAACCCCATGCACAGCAGAACGAAACACTGCCCGATCCCGCGCCAGCCCCACAATCCCTGCTATGCTTGAGCCCATCAGCGCAGCCACTGTATCAATCCATCTCGTTGAAGGCCTCCCCCTCTTTCGTCGACCCTCCACCCTACCAAGCATGACATCCTTCTCCAGGGAATGGTCCCTTCTTACAACATGACCAAAATAGGTGAGACGAAGTCTGGCCATTCTTGCTTCCAAGGAGCATTCTGGCTGCACTTCCTCCAGGACAGATCTGTTAGTTCATTTAGCAGTCTATGGTACTTTCAGCATTCTTCACCAGCACCACAACTCAAAAGCATCAACTCTTCTTCGGTCTTCCATATTCATTGTCCAGCTCTCACATGCATACCAGGCGATTGGAAATATCATGGCTTGTGTCAGGCGCACCTTAGTCCTCAAGGAGATATCCTTGCTCCTCAGCACTTGAAACAGTTCCTTCACAGTTGACTTTCCCAATGCTACACGTCGTCTAATGTCCTGACTGCTGCTTCCGTTGGCATCGATTGTAGAACCAAGCAATGTGAATTCCTTGACAACCTCAATCTTCTCTCCATTTATTGTGATGCTGCTCATTGGTCCAGTTGTGAGGATATTTGTTTTCTTTATATTGAGACGTAATCCATAGAGTGGTTCCTCTAGTGCAAAAAAAAAAAAAAAGAATTATAGTTCATGGTAAAGAAATTTTGGCTACAAATGAGTTCATCAGCAACATTGTCAAGGGGCTATAGTCCATTGGCACCCAAAACACTGAGGAAAACCAGCACTTTATTACCTGTGGCTGCTAACTGGGAATAACTGAATGAACCTCTGCATTGATGATATCATCTTTGTTCATGAAATCCTTTACCATAGGCAGACAAAGTTTTCCCCTTCCATCAGTTTATAAAGTGCAAGGACTGCATTATGGGCCTCAGGATTGGCAGGTGTGTTGTATCCCTGGTAGAAATAAGTAGCCAGACCACCATTTAAGGTATGGATGGATTATGTGGTATGCCTAATATAGGCATACTTTGGAAAAATTGGAGGTTCCATTCCAAACCACTGTAATAAAGCAAATATTAAAGTGAGTCATGCAAATATTTTGGTTTCCTAAGGGAGCTCTGGTGGTGTAGTACCAAAGGCATTTGACTGCTAATCAGAAGGCTGGCAGTTCAAACCTACCAGCCACTCCTTGGAAGGAAGATTGGGCAATCTACTTCCATAGACATACTGCCTCAGAAACCCAAGGAGGGGTCACTATGAGTCAGATCTGACTCGATGGCACTGGGTTAGTGCACATAAAAATTACCTTTTCACTATATTGTAGTGAAAGGAGTTTTGGTGTATTTGGTGTATTATTGTATTAAAGGAGTTTTGGTGGCACAGTGGGTACGTGTTAATTAGGAGGTCGGTAGTTCAAACCTTCCAGCTGCTCTGCAGGAAGAAGATGAGGCAATCTACTTCTGTAAAAATTTACTGCCTTGGAAACCTTATTGGGGTTGCTATGAATTGAAATCAATTCAATGGCAGTGGGTTTGGTTTTGGGGTAGTCTATTAAGTATGCAATAACATTATGAAAATGTTTGAAATATTGTGAGAACTACCCAAATGTAACACATAGACACCAAGTGAGCACATGCTGTTGGAAAAATGACACCAGTAGACTTTCTTGACACAGGGTCACCACAAACCTTCAATTTTTAAAACCCTCAGTCTCTGTAAAACACAATAAAATGAGGTATGCTTATTCTGCCAAACATTTTTTTATAAAGATGTATCAATTTATACTCACACTTGAAGTTTTTAAATATCCCCCTTGCTCCACATCCTCGTCACTTCATGTGGTCAGTCTTCTCATTTTAGCCTTTCGGGTGAGTATGCAGTATTATCTTATGTGATTTAAAGCATCATGTTGCTAGTGACTGGTGATGTTGAGCACCTTGTCATATGTTCTTTGTCCATTTTTATATACTATATAGTGTTTTGTGTATACCGTGAAATGGTGTCCCTACAGAATCTTCTGTCATGATGGAAATGCTATACAGCTATACTGTCCAATACAGCAAAATCTAATCACAGGTGGCTGTTAGCATTTAAAGTGTGGCTACTATAACTTAGGAATTTAATTTTAAATTTAATTTTATTTAAATCTGTTGCCCATATTTATATTGAGTTGTGTTTTTCTGTTGAGTCGTGTTTTTCTTATTGATTTATATGAGTTTATTTTTTGTCTTACTTTATTTTATTCTTAGATACAAATTTTATGAAGATATGTGTGTTGTAAATATCATCTGCTTTGTGACTTACCTATTCACTATCTTATGATGAAGAAAATTTCCTTTATAGTTTAGTAATCTTTTCCTTTAAGGTTCATTGCTTTTTGTGTCAAGAACATTTTTAATAATGTCGTTGTTTCATTGGTCTCAATATTCATTTTAATTTTAATTTTATCCATAACAGCTAAATCAATAGAAATCTATTACCCAGGTAGCATATAAAATCTCTATATTATTTTCATATTTAATTACAAAAAACATAAACATCAATTAATCATTCACATTAGATTTTGCTTCTTTAATAATAGCAGTTATCTTACTTTTGTTTTATTTTGGTCAGGTGAAAATGTGAAGCCAGATGAGTTTATGAATATGAAAAAGTCTCATGAAGTTTGTGTAATGTCAGAGCTGATCAGCAGTACTGCTGACTTTTGTGGAATAAAGCAGGTAAGAGTATTTCTCTGTATTTTTAGTTGTTAATGTTATTGCTATTTTTTGTCTCATTCAGGTTTCATTTTCTACTATTACTATCTTGCCTTTAAAATGTTGTTAACTAATAGTTGATGTCAGATACATCAGATGCTTTAAACATATACTCTCATTTCCCAGTATGTTCTAATTATAATAATTTCATTGTAAAAAGTAGATATAACTATCAAATTTTTTTGCAACAATTTTCACTCTTTTTCAAGTGAATAAAAGTAAAGGATAATTCTATTTGATAATGTTGTAAGTCCAACTTGAGAGAACACTATGAAGATGGCATTCTGCAGAATTGTTTGCTGCTTAGTGTTCTTAGAATCTTGGTTACCAAGTTGTGGTCTGGGCACCTGCCTCATTATGGTGAACACAAAGAAATTTTGTTTTAGGACTTAGATTCTTTCATCGTCAGAATCACAATGCACTCCTTTTTTAAAAAAATAACTTTTGTGAGAGGTAGTGATGTCTGAAACTAGATGTTAAAAAAAATGGTTGCCCATATTGGCCTATAAAAATGGTAAGTTATTTTCCTTATACCTGCAATGACAGCTATGGGGATTATGGAGGCTTTTCACTCCTATAATTTTTATTAGGTACTAGCATCTTTTCCATGGATTCTTCCAGATTGGTGGAAAGTTTGAGAGTGATTAGGAAACTCATAGCTTATGCTAGGCATGCAGGGCCATTTGTGGCAATATAGATCTCCAGAGTAAGGGCTAGAGGAAGTCATAAGGCATAGTTATCAATCTTTTCTCAAGTGTGCCATACCTGAAAAGTATCTTCTGTCAGACTTACAATAGCAATGATGCTTAACTGGAGTAGAATGGGTGATCCCCCGCCGAATGCCATATCAAAATATTGGGGCAAGCGTTAGGTTTCTAAAAATTCTTCAGATGATTCTGAAATGATGTCTACTTACATCCATTAAGAGTAATGACAATGTGAATAGTCTCCTGAAGAACAAATGTGCAGTTTCATTAGCATTGAAAGAAAGGGGTATAACAAGGTCAGGCAATTGAGGCGTCAATTAATACCAGCAGGTCCACTTGAGAGGCCAGATAATTCAGTTAATTGGTAGTCAGGTAAGCTGGATAGAAGATGTATTCATGGATCTCATGAACCCAGGCACAGAGCAGGAGAACAGGATATGATTTCAGTCTTGAGAGGAAGACTATCTAAATAAGGCAGAGCAACAGAGACTATAAGAATTGGATCAAGATTCTGTGTAGAAACCAAGAAAAAACCCAATCATATAGTTTCAGAATACATGGAAGGGTGAACAAAAGAAATGTGAATCATTTAGGATTGTAACTGATGTTCTGTTTCCTGAGAGTAATCTACAGATGATGACTACAAAAGCAACATAAGAATCTATCATTCATGCTAAAGCCAACAAATGCCCTATCCAAGATAAGCCCTGAATCTTGAGTCCAAGTAGGTAGTTGAGGTAAGATTACTAATGAGCTATCAGTTTCAGTTGTGATTAATTGAAGATCTAGACAGGATAGAGTCTGTAAATTGGAGGACATTAGTAATGCAGGTGTGAGGAATCTGGGAAAGCTACTGCCTACTACCAGCTGCCACTGAGTCGATTCTGACTCATAGTGACCCTTTAGGATGGGAAAACTGCCCCATAGGGCTTCTAAGGCTATAAATCTTTATGGAAGCAGAATGCCACATCTTTCACACATGGAGTAGCTGATGGGTTCAAACTACTGATATTTTGGTTATCAGCCAAATGCTTTAACCGCTGTGCCACCAGAGCTCCTTATGGGAAATATGAAGAGACTAAAAGCACTATGTATACTCTATGAAAGGTTTTTCACTAAAGGTTCCTGGGGGATTAATTTTATAGATTTTTTTTCTTTCATTGTAAATATAATGATGATGTTCATATTATCCTTGTGTAAGTTTCATTTACTCATTACATATTATTGAGTCTCCACCATGTAGTAGCCAATGTACAAAATTAGTCCATAATTCTATTTAAGGAATGATGAAACTTCTGGCAAGATAAGAGCTGGACTAGATAGTGTGAGGAACAATATTTTATATATATATAAAGTCTAGTTATTGTTGTTTGCTAGACTCAGGTGAGGTAATAGAGATAGTGGATCAACCTCCCCTTAGACAAAACAAAACACAGCCATAAGCATTCTTGAAAAAAAAGTGGGGTTACTTATAAGCATAGATTATATGCCCACAGCAGGAGACTCCTGTGTTAAATCAAACCTGAGATGCTGGAAAATGATTCAGGTGGTCTCAGGTTGCTGTCATCCCCTGGCTTTAGGCAGAAACCTACGTAATTTCTCAGGAGATAAAACCTATAAAACCAAACCCCCTGTTATCGAGTCAATTCCAACTCATGGGGACCCCTATTGGATTTCCAAGACAGTAAATCTTTACAGAAGTAGATTGCCCCGTCTTCCTTCCACAAAGTAGCTGGTGGGTTTAAACTGCCAACCTTCTGGTTAGTAGTCAAATGCCTTAGGTACTGTGCCACCAGAGCTCCTTCTTAGGAGATAAGCACTCTTAATTTAGGACTCTGTATTTACCAGAGACTCAGATTAACCAAACTTAACCTTCTAAATCAAGATCACAAACTCATTAGGAAATAAATTACCATGAATGAGAATCCATAGGGGGTGAAGAGAGGCACCTGACTGAGATCCCAAGGATAATGCTCTTCATTTCACCATAGTATTTGTTGTAGATGTTTATTCAGAAATTAACTCCTACCCTAGCAGAAGCCTCATATGCAAATGAAAGCTGGACAATGAATAAGGAAGACCAAAGAAGAATTGATGCTTTTGAGTTGTGCTGGTGAAGAATGCTGAAAGCACTATGGACTACCAGAAGAACTAACAAGCTTGTCCTGGAAGAAAAGCAGCCAGAATGCCCCTTAGAAGCGAGAATGGCCAGACTTTGTCTCACTTACTTTGGTCATGTTGTCAGAAGGGACCACTCCCTAAAGAGGGATATCATGCTTGGTAAAGTAGAGGATCAACAAAAAAGGGGAAGGCCCTGAATGAGATGGATTGACACAGGAGCTGCAACAGTGGGCTAAGGTATAGCAAGGATTGTGAGGCTGGTGCAGGACCAGGCAGTGTTTCCTTCTGTTGTACATAGGATCCCTATGATTCGGAGCTGACTCCACAGCACTTATCAACAATAGCAAGTAGCAGAAGCATCCAATAATGAGACTGTGTTAGACTGGGTTCTCTAGAAAAACAAAAACCAGCAAAGCTTATATATATATATATATATATATATATATATATATAGAGAGAGAGAGAGAGAGAGAGAGAGAGATTTATCTTAGGAAAATGGCTCACAAATGTATAGAAGCCGGCAAGTCCAAAGTCCCTGGAGGAAACATCGGGCTGGAGGCAGCTTCCGCAACTGCAGGGGGCCGAGAAATTCAAGGCTGGCAGGTAGTATACTGGTTGTTGACTCCAACGAAAGACGAATCCAAGATCTCCAGGCCGAGCAGTGGGCTGCTCACTCACGGAAGGTTGTAGTCAGCACACCAAGGTCCCGATCCACAAAAGAATGTCTCTCTTCCCAGAATGTCCGTTGATATCCTGGAAGCAGGCCACACCCCCTAGGGAAACTCCCCTTGGGCAGATTGGCCACTCAGAACACAGTCATCCGATCCCATCATGGGAACAACCACACACAACTGGGGTCCAGCCAAGTTGACTCACAGCTCCAACTATCACAGAGACTTAAAAAAAAAAAAAAAAAAAATCAGTGAAAAATGGACTCATTAGCAGAAGAGAAGGTCAGAGAAGCAATGATAGATTTTGCTCAGAGAGGTTGTATGATTAGACTTTGTTCTGTGTTGAGAATACACTCTTGAGGGAGGGGAGCAGGGAAGCCATTGAGAAGGCAATACAGTTAGCCAGGCTTAAAGTAGAGTTAGCATGAAGTGGCCTTGCTAAGTGATCAGATTATGGATGTGTTTTGAAGCAAACACCAATTCATAAGTAAGGAATAAAACAAAGACAGGAATTTATTTCTCCACTTAGAAGTATGAAGATACCTTTAACTTTGACAAGGAAAATTATGAGAGGCCAGGTTTTATGGAGAATATCAGAATCTCAGTTTTAGACATGTTAAATTTGAGATGCTTATTAGACATACAAGTGAAAATGTTATATAAACAGTTGAATATATGAGTCTGAAATTCATAGGAATTCCAAATAAGTCGTAAGTTTGAGAATCATCTTAAAATGGTAGTTTGATCTCTGTGCTAGTCAACAAAATGTAACTTTTCTATCTAAAGTGCTAATATTATTAAGAAATGTAGCCATTATGTGTAACAATGTTTCTGTGAGAAAAACAGAAGAGTAGGAAGATACTTCTCCCCAGGTACTGGATTAGAGAACTAGTAAACCTGTCCTCGGGGACAGGATTGGGTTAGAGACTTCTCTATCTTCACACCTGTGGCATAGAGCAGATGATTTAGCAAGGAAAAGAGTATGGCAAGTAAGGGACAGATCCGGCTGGTGGGAATTTTGCTTTTCAGACCAGATACTTTGAAGGCAAGAAGTTGTCCAACTTGTAGATTCCTACTGTGTAACCTATAAATACATAGAGTTCTTTCTATTGCTAATACTACACATTACTAAAAAGGAGAATCCAACTTGGCTTGATAAGATAAAAGTGGAAGTCTCCTGTTAGGTTTTCCAGAAAAGTTTGCCTGTTACTGTTTTTTAGATATTATCAGTGAAGACGTGATTCTTGGAATTTCTATAGCCATCTTAAAACCAGAAGAATTGCATAAGCTGGCCCATTCAAAGGCTGGCCAAGCCTTTGAATGATTCTACCACCCTATTGCCAAGTTTCTTATTAAGTGAGGTAACAAATTTTCTTAATTTTTCAAAACTTAGTTTCCTGTTACTTGCAGCCAAAATTTTCCTAACGCACAAGTGGAACTGTCACAAACAGACCTGGGAACAAAGTTAGTTATTTCTTAACTGAGTGTCTGAACTAGTGGTAACAAATGTGTTGGTATTTACAAGCAACCCACTAGTTGCTATCATTAAATTTTTCATTGTCATCAGTGAGCATGTTTTATAGGGAGAATCGACCCACTGCCATTTATTTGCTTCTGACTCATAATGACCCTATAGGACAGAGTAGAACTGCCCCCATAGAGTTTCCAAGGCTATAAATCTTTATGGAAACAGACTGCCTTATTTTTCTCCAATGGAGCTGGTAGTAGGTTCAAAGTGCTGACTTTCTGGTTAGCAGCCAAATGCTTTAAGTATAGGAGAAAGGGAGCTTTGATTTCTCTTAATATTCAGATAAGGGGGAAGTTTCATACAGCTTCTACTGTCTAGCCCTTATATTCATAAATATGGATATGTCCTCTTCGGGTAGATTGTAGCATCTTAAAGTCAAGAATATGTAAATATCTATCTATCTATCTCACATTTTCCCTCCCCAGTAATGAGTCTAGAAAATAAAATTAGATAGAAATACAAAGGATTACTTGTGTGCTATTACTTATATAGGGGATATTATTTATGATCTTTCCTATGAACTGATCTAATTGTGAGACCCTGAAAATTTTTATTTAATTCATGATATGCATTACTTCAAATATAGGAATGTTTCCTTCAGTGGATTATACTTCAGTGAGGGATGAATTTATTTTAGGAATTAAAGATAGAAATAATAATATTAGATAATTATTTTGTTATGGTAGTATTTCTATAATTATGCATTTATTCCCTATGAAATCATATGGCAATAAAAGTCTTTGTGATGTCTCAATTTCCTTCAAAAAATGTTTTATTGAGGTATAATTTACATATTATATGATTCACTAAACCTAAGTGCAGAATTGGATGAGTTCTGGTAATTGTATTCAGTTGTGTAACCACATCACAATAAAGATGCAGAATATTTCCATCGACCTAACGCATTTCTTGATACTATTTTGGAGGATATTTCTTCCCCCACACTCAGGAAACCACTGATGTGTTTATAATTTTGACTTTTCTAAAACATCCTATAAATGCAATAATATAGTATGTAGACTTTTGTGCTTGATTTATTTCACTTATCACATAGCTTTTTGAGTCATGAAATTCCAAGAATCACAAAATATTCTTGTGTATATTTGTAACTGTTCCTTTTTTATTACTGGGTAAATATGGCTAGAGTATGGATGTATCACAATTTGTTTTTCCATTTACCAGTGGATAGGCATTTGAACTATTTGCAATACAAGCAGTCTCAGCTTACAAATATCTGACTTACAGACAAATTGTACTTGAACTTTAATTTATGTAAATTTTCCTTTCCTTTGAAACAATTGAACTGACCCCTACTCACAACAAATCCTTCATCACAATCACCTTCACTTGGTGCATATGTAGCTTTTAAATAATTGAAAAGACTTCCAACATTTTTTTGCACTGACCCCACCCACTGCCTCGAGTCAGTTCCAACTCTTGGTGACTCCCATAGGGTTCTCAAGTCTATAAATCTTTATGGAATGAGGTTGCCTCATCTTCCTCTTGTGGAGCAGCTGGTGGGTTTGAACCACCAGCCTTCTGGTTAGGAGCCATATGCCTTAGCCAGTGTGCCACCAGAGTGCTTTTCTTGCACTAAAGTATGGCTAAATAAGAACCATGTGCACCTATTCCAACTGATCTATAAATTCGACTTACAGACACACTTAGAAATGGATCTCATTCATGACCTGAGTATTGCCTGTGTATATAATTTCTTGCTATTATGTATAAGGACACTATGAACAATCACATACTGGACATGTTTTTTTTTTTTTTTTTTGGATAAATAGGTAGGAGTGGGATTGCTTGGTCACATAGTAAGTGTATGTTTCACTTTATAGTAAACTACCATATTATTTCCCAGAGTGACTTACCATTTTACATTTCCACAAAATGAGGTTTCCAGTGTCTTTGAATCCTTATCAATACCTATTATTAGTTGTTTTGATGATAGTCACTCCAGTGGGTGTATAGAGGTAACTCATTGTCATTAAAGTTTGCATTTCTTTGATGGCTAGTGATATTGGGCATCTTTTCATATTGGTTGTTTGTATATCTTGTTTAAGTATGTATTGAAGTCTTTTGCCCATTTTTTCATTATTGAATTGTAAGAGGTCTTTATACTCTGGACACATGTACTTTATCAGGTATCTGTTTTATATTTTTTTTCATCTTTATGTATTCTGAATAGCAAAAGTTTTAATGTTAATAAAGTTCATTTTATCAATTTTTTTTTCTTTTATGGTTTATGCTTCTTATATCATACTTAAGGAATCTTTGCCAAACTCAGTGCTACAAAGATTCTTTTATATGTATTCTTTGGAAGATTAATGGATTTTGCTCTTAGATTTAGATCTGTGGCTCACTTTAAATTAATTTTTGCCTGGGGTGTTTGATGGTCAAGGTTCATTTTTTCCATAAAGACATCCAGTTATGCCAGCACCAATAATTGAAAAGACTGTCTACTTCTTTGAATTACCTTGGTCCTTTTGTCAAAAATCAGTTGATGACTATGTAACTATGAGTCTATTTCTAGACTCTGTTATTTTCCATTGATTTATATGTCTGTTCAATGTAATCAAAACTACACAGTTTTGATTACTGTAGCTTTATATTAATTCTTGAATCAAGATAAATCCTGCAGTTTTCTTCTTTTTCAAAATGGGTTTAACTCTTCCAGGTGATTTGCTTTTCCATATAATTTGTGGTCTCTGCTTGTTGATTTCTTCAAAAAGCTCTGCTGGGATTGTTAGTATTGCGTTGAATCTGTGTATCAGTTTAGGCAGGATTGCATTCTTGATGGCTTTTCTTTCACGAACATACTACTTTTCTCATTGCTGTCAAGTCAGATCTGACTCATATCGACACCTCCTTGGGTTTCTGACGCAATATCACTACAGAAGTAGATGGTGCAACCTTTCTTCCAAGGAGTGGCTGGTAGGTTAGAACTGCCAGCCTTCTGGTAAGTAGTCAAATGCCTTAGGCACTACACCACCAGAGCTCCCTCATGAACATAGTATATCTTTTTATTTATTTATTATATACCAAACATAACAGGTTGTAGATCTTTTCAATTTTTCCTACCCAGTGTTTTATAGTTTCAGTTCTTACATGTATTTTGCTATATGTGGGGTAAAGAATTTAGCTTTACTCAAAATACAGTGGCCTTTGTTCTTGATTCCTGAGAAATAATCCTTGGACTAATTGGGATACCTTTGTCTTAGGCTTCCAGGCCACACCTGAAGATTTGTGCTGGCAAGCGGGGGTTGGTCAGACAGGAAAAGACTCAACTTGGAATACCAATATCAAGTGGCCTCAGAGGGCATGATTTATCTTGTCATGCAGGACTGGCCAATAAAAGCCAGTAACATGAAGGCTTGGAGAGCTCTCTGTTCAGCTAAAGGAGGATAGTGTGCCTTCTTTAAAACATGAAAGTTCCACCTTGGGGACCTTCCTGGACCTCACCAATGCATCTCTTCCTATGACAATCCTGATCTGTGTAATTTTGCTATGATACATATATAATCATAAGACCGTACTCTGAGTTTTGTGAGTTGTTCCAGCAAATTATCAAACGTGAAGGAAAAGAGGAGCCAGCAGGTGAAAATGGGAGGGTTATGTGACTCTCAAAGTTTTGGCTGGCATCTGCTTATTTGTCCTTTTAACTTGTGAGATCTGCTTTACCTCTGATTGGCTAGGGTCAGAGAGAGACTGTACCATGTGGCCAGCTAGGGTCAGAAATTATTGAGAGGTGGCAAGGTGGGACGTGGATCGATCTCCACCTCTGGGGGATTGGATTCATGCTGATTATCATCCACAAAGTTATCCATGAACTTTATTCCTAAATATTCCATTTTATGCCTTCATAATTGAATTGTTTTAAATTTTATTTTCTAATTGTCTTTGCTGCTATATTGTATATGTTCTAATTGTTCCTTGCTTGTATTGACCTTATATCCTGACACATTGCTAAATTTATTTATTAGTTCTGTTAGCATTTAGTATCTTCCTCAGGATTATCTGCAGATATGATCCTGTCATCAGAAATAAAAACATTTGTATACCTTTCCTTCCAATATTTATGCCTTTTACTTCTTCTTGACTTGTTACACTGGCTAAGACCTCCAGTAAAATGTTGATTAAATATGGTGAGAGTGTTTAGTTTTTAATAGGAATCAAAATATTGACTAAAACACAGCATAATAGGTTGGATATATGATACAACCTATTTGTTTACTTGTACATTGAAAAAATATGGAGTGCTTTCTTTCATCATCTGATTAAATCTTTTAAATTCCCTCTGTTTTTCCTAACTTTAGGTAATTGACCTGGGATCTGGTAAAGGCTACCTAAGCTCCTTTTTGTCCTTGAAGTATGGTTTAAAAGTTTACGGAATTGATTCCTCAGATGTCAGTACTCATGGAGCTGAAAAGAGAAATAGGAAATTGAAGAAACACTGGAGAGTTTATCACACTCGATCAAGGTTAGATGTCAGTGGACTGGCATTAAAAATGGCAAAAGAAAGGAAAGTGAAAGACAAAATTCAACATAAAGCAGATGCTGAAGAAAAGTGTAACAACCGTATGATAAATCCAGAAGAGATGGCTCCCTCAGGTTTCCTGCCAGGTTTTTCAGACACTGTGATTTCTAATATCCCACAACAAATAGAAAACCAACATGGCCAGCCACAGCAAGAAGAAAATTGGTGTTTTGAAAATGTCTTTCCTTTTATAGACATTTTGCCTATTAATGCTGTAGAACCTACTTCTTCATCCCAAATATCCAGCAGAGAAATTTCTGAAGCCAGTAAAGAAAGAAGAAAAAAAACATCACAGTCAAATGAATCAAGTATATATTCACCTTTAACCTCTTTTATCACTGCTGATTCAGAACTGTGTGACATTATTGAAGATCTGGAGGTGATTTCACTTTTAAATTCCTAACTTGGGTTTATAAAAATACTTTAAGACATAGAATTAAACTTTAATAATAGCTTATATAACCTAAAACTCAACCCAAACTCACTGCCATCATGTTGATTCCGACTCCTAATGATCCCCTTGGGTTTCTGAGGCAGTAAATCTTTACGGAAGTAGATTGCCCCATCTTCCTTCCATGGAGTGGCTAGTGAGTTTGAACCACTAACCTTCTGGTTAGCAGTCAAATGCTTTAGGTGCCACACCACCAGAGCTCCATACATAACCTACATATCTTAATTAATCATATTAATCTAAAAGACCAAGAAAATAAAATCATAATCAGGCTTTCATGATTCCCACAGCTGTCAAAACCTGACAAGAGCACATTCCAGAATACAGTATCTGCCACTCATTTCAGGCTCATATATCAAAGAGAAGTACTAGCACAAAAACTAGTAAGTAAGTTAAGTTCTTGTCATGCAACGTCGGTATGTTAAAATTCCAACTCAGGAAAACTCTTAAATTTAAATTGGACATAAAGAGGTATCTAAGGCAAAATTGTATTTAATGTTTGCTTTGGTAACTTGGTAGCCAAGAAAATATGTGATTTCCTTGCATAAAAAGAATAACTTCTAAGTATTATTTAAGATTTGTACTTTTTCTGAATTATAAATATGTCAGATTCTGTCATTGAGAGAACAATATATCTTAAAGACAAAATTTTATGTTTAAACAATATTATAGAAGAAGGTTGTAGACATCATTTGGTGTAACTCACTTTCTGAACAAACAAGAAAGCCTTATAATAGTATATTCTTGTTAAATTTTTCACAGAGTCTTCCTCACAGAGAGGAACAAATGAAAGATACCAGAATTCTTTATACACACAAATTCTCCTTTGGTCACTGACCAATGTTAGGCCATTTTTAGAATGGGAAATTTTTCTTTTTTTTTCCTAGACATTTTTTGGATTTCACTGGTGTATGGAAACTGATTAATTCTCATAAATTGTTTTTCTTACATATGAAAACAATAGCTAGGTTTACCTTAATGTTCTAAGCTTGAATAACCCCAATTACTTTTTTTAAAAAAAAGTTCTTCCAAAAATATAAATTTTTAGTGCTTTTGTTGTATTTTCAAGTTTCTAAAAATCTTGTTAGAAGTATATGATCAAAACTGTCTGCAAACTCTTATAAGAGTCCACCATTATTTAAAAAAAGAATTTAAGATATAGTACAACAGTACTTTTGGGCCCTAATGAATCAACAATTTTTTAACCAAAATTAAACAACACCTCCTGTCACTCTTGCACATGTACAATACTTTTACTATTAGAATAATAATATTAGGTAATAATAATACTAGAATAATAATGATGCTTGCATGTTTTTACCTCCTACTTTGCCACTTAGTCCCTGGGTAGGACAAATGGTTAAGGGGCCAGCTACTAACCGAGTGATTGAACCCACTTAGAGGACCTTAGGAAGAAAGGCCTAGGATCTACTTTCTAAAGGTCATAGCCGTGAAAACCCTATGGAGCAAAGTTCTACTGTGCGACACGTGGGGGTCCCTGTGAGTTGGAATTGACTTGATGGAAACTGGTTTGATTTTGGCTTACTCTGCTAATGTTATTAACTAGTCCGATATGATGGGTCAGAAGGAAGACTGGGCAATCTACTTCCCTAGTGATACTGCCTTGGAAACCCAAGGAGATGTCACTGTGAGTCGGATCTGACTCGATGGCAGTGAGTTTGGTTTGGTTTTGATATGATAGAGCTCTGGTGGCATAGTGCCTAAGGCATTTCACTGTTAACCGGAAGGCTGGCAGTTCAAACCCACCAACCACTCCTCGGAAGGAAGATTGGGCGATCTACTTCTGTAGTGATACTGCCTCTGAAGCCCAAGAAGGGGTCGCTATGCATCAAATCGAACTTGACCACCGTGAGTTGGTTTGGTTTTGATTTTAGTCTGATGTGCTCAATGGCTGTGATTAAATGGTTTGTGTGATCTTTAGGGAGAGATAAGCTAAGTTTAAAGGAAGATTTATTACTTTGTAAATAAAACCTACCCAAACTCTTATCATCAAGAAAAGCAAAATGGTTGCACAACTATAAAAAGAAATTTTTTTGAGGAAAATGGCAGTTGAAACCCTCTCAGTGTTCTGTTATATTGAAGCCTTTTTATAAGTACAGTTCTTTTCTTTAGCAAGGTTGGACTTTAGCTGTGTTACATTAGGATTAAAAGGGCTGACATTAAATTTTGCTAAATTTAATATTTAAATGAAACAGTTCTATTTTTCTCTGAATATAGCTATAAAACATACTTGAATTACAAGATAATGCTTCCATTATTTTGAATTTATAATGTATAATAGTAATAATAAGAGGATAGAAAACATTTACTGCATTTTATCATGTGTCAGACATTGTACTAAGTCATTTGCTAGTATTATTTAAGCTTTGCAACAACCTATTGAAATGAGATAATATTATTTTAGAGATAAGGAAATAAAGGCACTGAAAAGTGAAAATAAACATGTCTAAATCACACAAGTAGCTAATTGGAATTTAAACTTAAACCCAGGCTGTCAGTTTCTGAAGACAGTGCTCTTAAAAACTTATGCAGTAAGTTCAGTAATAATGAATTCTTTATCATCTCTTAAGAAAACAAATATATCTTTGTTTTATTTATACCTCTAGAGTAATTTTACTTTGTATTATAAAGGAGTTCATCTATTTGATGAATAATACTTTAGATAGCACTTTGAGATTTGGTTACCATAGATATAATTTAAAGTGATAACAATGGCAAAATATTTTTTTAACATGAGAGAATATGGTTTAGTTAACAAAAACACTGATTCAAAATCAATACAGTTATGTGCTGAGCACAGATATTACACTAATAATATGACCTTTGGACTATCTGAACTTAATATTGTTGAATATAGAGAGTGTTACACTAGAAATATTCTAAAATCTTTTTAGTTCAAAATTATAAAAGTCTATGATGCTAATAGGCCATAGATTTCCAGTATAAAACTTTATTTTTGCTGTTTTTAAACTAAATTTCTGAGTCATTAAAGACTGAAAATTATTACACCTACTCCTCACTTACTATCTCATTATACATTTCACATTTATGACAATAATAATAAATTTACTATCTGACTATTTGGCACATTAATGACAAATATCTGACAGTGACAAACACCGAGGTGCTGGGTGAGATTAACATTAACTGTGATGACTGAGGTTGTGTGTCCACTTGGGTGGATCATGATTCTTGGTGCTTTGCCAGTTACGTAATGATATAATCTGGCAGTTATATAATGGTGCAATTGGGCTGTTAATGTATTGATGTAATTTAGCATTTCTTTTCTTTTTGTTGTTGTTAGATGCCTTCTAGTTGGTTCTTACTCATAGCAACCCCCTGCATAACAGAACAAAACACTGCCAGGTCTGGTGTCATTCTCTCAGTCATTGCTATGTTGGAATACATTGTTTCAGCTACTTTGTCAATCCATGTCTTCAAGGTTCATCTTCTTTTTCCTTGACCTTCTGCTTTAGTAAGCACGACGTCATTCTCCAAGAACTAGTCCCTCTTGATAACATATCCAAAGTAAGCAAGGCACTATGTTCACTTCCAAGGAACATTCTGCCTGTATTTCTTCCAAGACACATTTGTTCATTCTTTTGGTAGTCCATGGTACATTCAATATTCTTCACCAACACAGTTATACCAAAGCATCAATTCTTCTGTGTTTCTTATTCAATTTCCAACATTTTTTTTTCTTTTTATTGTGATTTGGGTGAAAGTTTACAAAGCAAATTCATCTTCCATACACAGCAGTTCACATACACTTCTTTGTCTCATGATGTTGACGACAGATTACCACAATGCAACAGCTCCCCTCCTATTTCTTCCCCATAGTTACCTCTTCCCTATGTTCTTCCCTCTATGTACTCCTGCCCTGAGCTATGTCCTTGTGCATACACAGCCCTTCTACTCTCCCATGCTTGTTCTCTCCAAAGAGTGTATCTACCTAGTGTAAATGTTCACCTCATATGCCTGTCTTCTGTTTGGCTGAAATCCACAGGAGTGGGTTCAATTCCAGACCTGAATGGCAGCTAGGGGCCAAAGTCTCAATGGTTCCATCAGGCTCTATCAGACCAGCAAAACTGTTCCCTCTTTTTTTTTTCCCCCCAAATGAGTTTTGTTCCACATTATTCTCCCACTCTATCCAGTATCTCCTACATAGATCCCCCTCCGAGTGGTTGACAATGGTAGAGGGGACAATCTAGTTCTTCTGGTCTCTTAGTCATACACACTAAGGGTGGCATGGTGTACCAGTCGCTTGGACTAAGTGTTTCCATGGATCTTTGGTTTTCTTCATTCTTCTTTGCTCTGGATGAGGAGAGATTCATCATTGCATCTAGATGGCTGCTTGCAAGCTTTTAAGATCCCAGTTGCTACTCACCAAAGTAGGAGGTAGAACAATGTTTCGTGTAGTGTGTTATGCCAATTGAGCTTGATATACCCTGTGACTATGGTCCTGAGCCCACAGGTTCAACTACTCGGTCCCTCTGGGTAGCTGGCTGTGGCCAAGAAGTGACTACAACCTTGTCCCTTGTCAGCTCTGCTATGCACCTGGGAATTCTTGCAGAACATATCAATACACTTGTAGAAACATTGTCTGCCAACCCTATACATAGTCTTGGGCACACTCCCTCCTGCATAGATAATAGTTCAGCCTGTCCACCCATCTATCCACCCGTATATCCATGTTTGCCTTCACTGACAGTGCAGTACTATATGTGCAAAAGGGTTCATCTTGTCTGTACCTCCCATGTACTCCTCTATGCCTTCCTCTTCCTCAGTGCCACCATGTTTATCACTCACTTTTGGTACATTGCCCTTCTCTTCACCCAAATCAATACTTGTCTCTACCTATCTAACATTTTCCAACTTTTGCATGCATATGAGAAAATTAAAAATGCCATGACTTGGGTCAGATGCACCTATCCTTATAGTGACATCTTTGCTTCATGGCACTTTAAAGAGGCCTTTCAAAGCAGATTTGCCCAACGCAATGCATTGTTTTATTTCTTGACTGGCACTTCCATAGTTGTTGATTGTAGACCCGAGTAAAATGGAATCTTGACACCGTCAATCTTTACTCCACTTTTCTGGATGTAACATAATTGGTCCAATTGTGAAGATTATTTTCCTTATGTTGAGGTGTAATCCATACTGAAGGCTATAGTCTTTGGTCATCAGTAAATGATTCAAGTCCTGTTTGCTTTCAGTAAACAAGGTAGTGTCATCTTCATATCCAGGCTGTTAATGAGTCTCCCTCCAATCCTGATGTTGTGTTCTTTATATAGTCCAGCTTTTCTGCATACAGATTGAATAAGTATAGTGAAAGGATACAACCCTGAGACACACCTTTCCTAATTTTAAACCATACGATATCCCCTCTTCTGTTGGAACAACTTCCTCTGGAATTCCCATTCTTCACAATGTTAGCCATAATTTGTTGTGGTCTACACAGTTGAATACCTTTGCATAGTCAATAAAGCACAGGTAAACATCTTTCTGGTATTCTTTGCTTTCAGCCAAGAACCATCTGACACCAGCAATGATATCCCTCATTCCAAGTCCTCTTCTGAATCCAGCCTGAACTTCTAGAAGTTCCCTGTCAATATACTTCTGTAACCATTTTTGAATTATCTTCAGAAAAATTTTATTTGTATGTGATGTTAATGATATTGTTCAATAATTTCTGTATTCTATTGGATCACCTTTTTTGAAATGGACATGAATATGGATCTGTTACAGTTTGTTGGCCAGGTAGCTGTCTCCCAAATTTCTTGGCATAGATGAATGAGTGCTTTGAGCATTGCTTATGTTTATTGAAACATCTCAGTTGGTATTCTTCCAATTCCTGGAGCTTTGTTCTTTGCCAGTGTTGTGGTTACCTAGTGCCTCTCTGACAGGAATATACCACAAATGGGATGCCTTGAACAAACAGGAGTTTTTTCTCTTACAGTTCGGGAGGCTAGACGTCTAAGTTCTAAGTGCCAGGCTCTAGGGGATGTGTGAAAGCCCCTTGACCTTGGGCTTCAGCTCTACCTCTTGTTCCTGGCCCACTGAAGCTAGAGGCATTTCTTCACTCAGGCAGCTACTGGCTTCTGAGGCTGACAAGCCCAAGGTCAACAAATAAAATGGCACAGTCTGATGTTAGCAAACCACAAGGCAGGCCATTAATTCAAGTCCATTGAAAGTCCCAAAGTCGGCAAAGCATGGCAGGCTGCTGAACAATAACATGGCTACATGGAGGGTTCAAGCATGCCGTGAGCTACAGACTATTCCCAAAGCTGTTTCTTATATATGGGAAGCAGAACACATTCCTAACGCAGCTGCTTGTGGTAGGTGCCACCATGGAGTTGATTGCCAGTCTCATCATGGGGAATAACTACCACCAGCTGCTCAGCCACTCAACCAGGCCCAGCCAAGTTGACACACAAACTTAACCATCACAGCCAGTGTCTTCAGGGCAGCTTGAATTTGCTACTTCAGTATGTTGGTTCTTGATCATATGCTATTTCTTTTTTTTGAAAATTTTGTTGTGATTTGGGTGAAAGTTTACAGAGCAAATTCATCTCCCATGCAGCAGTTCACATACTTTGTCTCTTGACATTGACTGTAATCTCCCACAATGCAACACTCCCCTCCCACTTCCTCTTTATAGTTACTACCTCTTCCCTGTGTCTTTCCCTCCCATGCCCCCTGAGCTCTCTCCCTGTGCATACACAGCCCTTCTATTCTCCCATGATTGATCTCTCCAAGGAGTGTATCTATCTAATGTAAATGTTCAGCTCATATGCCTGTCTTTTGTTTGGCTGGAAGCCACAGGAGTGGGTTCAATTCCAGACCTGAAGGGCAGCTGAGGCCATAGTCTCAGTGGTTCCATCAGGCTTTATCAGACCAGCAAACCTGGTCCCTTTTTTGAAAAACTTTTTTATGATTTTGAGTTTTGTTCCACATTGCTCTCTCACTCTACCCAGGATCTCCTACATAGATTCCCCCTCTGAGTGGTTGACAGTGGTAGCCAGGCACCTTCTAGTTCTTCTGGTCTCATAGTCATAAAGGGTGAGAATTGCATGGTGTACCAGTCGCTTGGACTAATTGTTTCCATGTGTCTTTGGTTTTCTTCATTCTTCTTTGCTCTGGATGAGGAGAGACTCATTGTTGCATCTAGATGGCCTCTTGCAAGCAATCATATACTATTTCTTGAAATGGTTTTACATTGACCAATTCGTTTTTGTATAATTACTTCGTGTATTCCTTCCACCTTCCTCTGATGTTTCCTGTGTCATATAATACCTTGCTCATAGACTCTTTCAATATTGTGACTCAAAGCTGGATAGTTTTCTTCTGTTTTTTCAAACTGAAAAATGCCAACCATGTTCTTCTCTTTTGTTTTTTTAACTCCAGGTCTTTGAATATTTCATCATACTACTTTATATTGTCTTCTCAAGCTGACCTTTGACATCTTCTATTGAACTCTTGTACTTAATCATTTCATTTACTTTAGCTACTTTAGGTTCAAGAGCAAGTTTCAAAGTCTCTTCTGACAGCCATTTTGGCTTTTATTTCTTTCCTGTCTTTCTAATAACTTTTTGTTTTCTTAATGTATGATGTCCTTGGTTTCATTCCACAACTCATCTGGTCTTCAGTTATTAGTGTTCAATGTATCAAGTCTATTCTTGAGATGCTTTTTAAGTTCATGCGGGATATACTCAAGGTTGTATTTTGGCACTTGTGGATTTATTTTAATTTTCCTCAGCTTCAACTTGAGGTTGCATATGAGCAATTAATGGTCTAATCCACAGTTGGCCCCTGGCCTTGTTCTGACTGATGATATTGAGTTTCTCCCTTGTCTGTTTCCACAGGTATAGTCTATTTGATTCCTCTGTATTCCATCTGGTGAGGAACATGTATATAGTCACCATTAATGTTGTAAAATGTTATTTCCAATGAATAAGTCGTTAGTTTTGCATAATTCTATGATGTGATCTTTGGTTTCATTTTCATCATCACAGCCATATTTTCCAACTACTGATCTTCGTTTCCAACTTTCACATTCCAATCACTAGTAATTATCAGTGCATCTTGATTGCATGTTTGATCAATGTAAAACTGCACATGTTGATGAAAATCTTCAGTATCATCATCTTTGGTATTTGTGGTTGTTGCATAAATTTGAATAGTAGTAGTATTAACTGATCTTTCTAGTAGGTGTATGGATGTTATCCTATCATCAACAGGGTTGTACTTAAGGATGGGTCTTGAAATGTTCTTTTTGATGATGAATGCAATGCCATTCCTCTTTAATTTTTCTTTCTTATCATAGTAGAACATATGTTTGTCCAATTCAGAATGGTTAATACCAGTAATTTTTATGTGTTTCATTTCATTTTTGACAACTTCCACCTTTCCTAAATTTGTACATATTACATTCCATATTTGGATTATCAAGGGATGTTTGCAGCTGTTTTTTTCTCATTTTGAGTTTTGCTGCATCAGCAAATGAAGGTCCTGAAAGCTTAACTCCATCAACTCTACTTTAAGGTAGGAGCTTTTCCCTAGTTGTATTTTGAAGCCTCCCAGCCTAAGGGACTCATCTTCTGGCAGTGTCTCGGTCAGTGTTCTGCTACTATCCATAAGGTTTTCACTGGACAGTTTTCTGCATAGTACACCACCAGGTCTTTCTTCCCAGTCTGCCTTACTCTGAAAGCTCCACTGAAATTTGTCCACCATGCATAATCTTCTTGGTATTTGGAATATTGGTGACATAGTATCCACATCACAGCAATGTACAAGCCGCCGTAGTATATAACAAACTCACAGATGAGTGGTCACTGGCAGTTATAAAATGATGTGATTTTGCATTTATGTAATGTGTAGTCATCCTCCATTTTATGATCTGATATGGTTATCTTCACTTTTTTTGCATAACACCAATTTTCACATAACGACCAGATCTTTGGAACCTAATCATGTTGATAAGTAAGGAGTGGATGTATATTAAATTCAACTGATAATTGGTATATTGAACAAAACTCATGAGTGCATGCATATGAACCCACTGTGTGTGTGTCTATATACATCTATATTAGGCTTTGGATGCTTAGAAAAAGCATTTCATATAATATTTTTTGCATAAAATTGGGACAAAAGTTTGATATTGGATTCAGTGTTAGCATATTTGATGCAGTGAATGAACTAAGTAAACTTTTTATGTTAGAGTAGAGATGCTAACTTAGCACCATTTTTTTTTTTAATAACAGTGCTTTTTAGGTTTTGAATTATATTGAATATAAAGGGCAATCTGTGAAGAAGTGAAATCAATAAAATATTTGACAAGTGTGCTCAAATGTACTGAAAATGTATCTCAAACCACAGGTTGTTCTAATAATATTGGCTACATTTGATTAGTCCAAGATTTACTTTGGCTGATCATTAAGCAAATATTAGTTGTAAAGAAATCAGAATATTCAAATGGTTAAATAACCAAAGCCACGGGAAAAAACCCAACTATGTCACTAGTAATAGGAGATCATGGTCATTTTGCATATAAAGGAAATAATTTCTTATTATGAAAATAAAGCAATATTTTCTAGGGAGAATTTGGTAATTATAAAAAGTCACACATAGTGTAATGATGGTTTCAAATCATCATCTGAATTGTTTTTTAACCCTTATTTTTAATTACCACTATTTATTTTTTCTTCTCTTCTTTAAAGGATTGTTTGATGGTGGGCCTACATACTTGTGGTGATCTTGCTCCAAATACTCTGCGAATATTTGCTTCCAAGTATGAAATCAAGGGAGTATGCAGTGTGGGTTGTTGCTACCACCTCTTATCTGAAGAGTTTGAAAATCAGCATATAGGTACAAAGCTGCCCATGTCTCATAATCTTTTCAGTATTTGAGCATAATGGGTGCTTCTTTGTCTGTCTTTTTATTTGGCTATTATTGTCATTTTGAATTAACATTTAAGATACCATCTGATTTTCTTGTAATTTTAATGTTACAGTATTATTGAAATTAATGCACTGTCACTTTATGTATTTTATTAGTCTTCAGTCATAAAATGGCAAAATCAATGCTGAATACTATGAATATATTTCAGAATTTTACATGGTACATCCTTCATGGATTCTTTAAAAGCATGCATAAATGTTTACTGAGATGGTAGAGCTAAATTGTTTTGTCTTGAATATAGAGTTGCAGAGTTTGCTTTCATTTGCACAGCTTTCTATTTTATTTCTGAAGGAATATTGATACTTCTCAAAAAAAGTTCCTTAGTGTATTTTGTAGAGCCAGAATAACAAGGATTTTTAAAAACTCCCAAACTATGTAATTGCATTTAAACAGAAGTGGGCTGCATGGACTTAGCAGGTGTCCCCGGAGCAAAGTATAGAGTAGCTTAGCTGGGCTTGGCTCACCGTACAGCCCTTCATCCAGAGTGGCTCCTGAATATTTCTAAAGTTTGTCCATTTTATACCTTATACCTCCCCATAAGATGCAGTTTCATAACTGCTAGTTTGGAGGAGATGGCTCTCTATTCTATTAGTATTAGAAGTTTTATGTTAATTTAATGATGGCTTTATCATTGTCCAATATCTTTTGCTAATAATTCTCAGGTCAGAAAGATAAGTGAATGTGAATGATATTTTTTGTTCTTTTCCTCAGTGATTAAAACCTGGTTGAATATGAAATTTTGATTATTTTTCATGTAGTCATGCCCAACAAGACTACTGAAATGAAATTGGGTGGAACAGAAACCATCCTTAAAAATGGCACAGGTTATTGTGAAACAGAATTAATTGAATTAGAGTTATTTTATGTCAGAATATGAAAAGTATCCTTTAGGAATAGTGAGCAAAAGAAAAATGTGAACTATAGAGAGCAACAGGGAAAAGAAAGAAAGCAAATTGACAAAAAGTAAACAATAGGTAAAACCAGAGTAACAATATATGAATGCATATCATGGCATTATTTCCAACTTTTCTCTGAGTACAAAAATTTCAATGTGAAAATTCGGAAAAGTAAATAGAAGAAATTATTTATACAAGACTACATACCCAAATATTTACATTATTTTACAATGCTCTTCTGCATCTTCCTAAAATAAATGAAATGAAAGTTTTAATATTAGCACAGATTTGTTGTTGTTAGGTGGGTAGTGTTGAGTCAGTTCTGACTTATACCAACCCTGTGTGTAAAGAATGAAACATTGCCCAGTTCTGTGCCATCCTCACTATTATTACTATGTTTAAGCTCATTGTGGCAGCTACTGTGTTAGTCTCTCCTTGAAGACTTGACTTTACCAAACATGACGTCCTCCTCTAGGGACTGATCCCTTCTGATAACATGTCCAAAGTACATGAGATAAAGTCTCGCATCCTTGCTTCAAAGGAACATTCTGTCTGTACTTCTTCTGAGACAGATTTGTTTGTTCTTCTGGTACATACAAATGTTCTTCACCAACACTGTAATTCTAATGTATCAATTCTTCTTTGGTCTTATTCATTGTTCAGCTTTTACATACATACAAGGTAATTGAAAATACCAAAGCTTGGGTCAGGTGCACCTTTGTCCTCAAAGTGACATCTTTGCTTTTTAACGCTTAGAAGAGGCCTTTTGTGGCACATTTGCCCCATCCATTATGTCATTTGATTTCTTTACTGCTCCTTCCATGGTTATTGATTGTGGATACTAATAAAGTAAAATCCCTTACAACTTTAATCTTTTCTCTGTTTGTCATAAGAGATGTATTATTTGTCCAATTGTGAGAATTTTTGTTTACTTTATGTTAAGGTATCATCCATACCAAAGGCTGTAATCTGTGATCATCAGTAAGTGCTTCAAGTCCTCTTTATTTTCGGCAAGCAAAGTTTGATCTGCATATTGCAAGCTGTGCGTGAGTCTTCCTCCAATCCTGCTGCTGTGTTCTTCTTCATATAGTCCAGTTTCTCAGACTATTTGCTTACCATAGAGATTGGATAAGTATGGGGAAAGAAAGCAACCTGAGGCACCACACATTTCCTGATTTTAAACCATACAGCATCCCCTTGTTCGTTTTGTACAGCTGCCTCTTGTTCTCTGTATAGGTCCTGAATGAGCACAAGTAGGTGTTTTAAAATTCCCATTCTTTGCTGTGTTTCCCATAATTTGTTATGATCCACATAGTTGCATCACATTTTTACAGTTTTTAAAATACTGAATGCATTGTATTTTCCTGTTCAGCAGTAGCATAAGATTCTATAGAGGGAAAGGTTGGGCTTTAGGGTGGATTATTTGATGTCTTACTTCAAGGGCTTCCTGTTCTACAGCTACAATGAAATACAGGTTCTTTAATAATTGACTCCATTTATGGGCAGACTTAGAAAGTTGTGTCTTTATGTTCAGAGATACTGCCTGCACTTCAGGACTTTTAATTTTAGCTGCTTGATTCCTTCTTTAATTTCATCATCATAACCTCTAAGAATACCTTCCTCTTCCCTTCCGTCTTTAAGTAGTACTTTCTTAGGCCTGTCATCTCTGATTCTGCTGAACCATAGCAGCCATTGCTTTGTATGTTCATGTCTCAGATCTTGTTGTGGTATTTGCCCACCAAGGAAGTATATAGTATTCTCTGTAATACCTTATATCCACAATCTTCGCTAAAGTCTCTGGAGCAGCCCCCAGGGCTGATTTGGGATACTGCTAGTTTGGGATGGTTTTTTTTTTTTTTCGCTTACATTTAAATCTAAGTTTGTAGTGTACGTGTGGATATTTGCTTAATTTTCACTCTATTTATTTATTTATTTTTCCTTTCTTACTCTCCCCCCCCCCTTTTTTTTAACCTTTCCTTTCATCGAAGTTAATATGGCTCTACCCTCTAAATAGTTATTTACTCTTCCTCTCCTGTCCACCCCTGGTAGCCATCAAAAAATATTTCCTTTTTTTCGGATACCCTTTTTTTGACTTTTTACAGTAGTGGTCCCATATAATATTTGTCTGGTTGACCAGTTTCACTCAGCATAATAGTCTCTAAGTTCATCCGTGCTATGAGAAGTTTCACAGATTCATCATTGTTCTTTAATGTTGCATGGCATTCCAATGTGTGTATGCACCATTGTTTGTTGATTCATTCCTCTGTTGATGGTCATTTAGGTTGTTTCCAACTTTTTGCTATTGTGAATACTGCTGCAGTGAATATGGGAGTACATATATCTATTTGTGTCACTTTTTTTTTTAAATTTTTACAGTGATCTGAGTGAAAGTTTACTCAGCAAATTCATTTTCTATACAGCAGTTCACACACACTTTGTTTCATGACATTGACTGGAGTCTCCCACGGTGCAACAGCTCTCTTCCCCCTTCCTCTCCTTAGCCACCTCTTCCCTTTGTCCTTCCCTCCCATGCATTCCTGCCCCCCCGAGCTGTCTCCCTGTGGATACACAGCCCTTCTATTCTCCCATGATTGATCTCTCCAATGAGTGTATCTACCCAATGTAAATGTTCAGCTCATATGCCTGTCTCTTCTTTGACTGGAAGCCACAGGAGTAGGTTCAATTCCAGACCTGAAGGGCAGCTAGGGGCCATAGTCTCAGGAGGTCCACCAGCTCTATCAGGACAGCTAACCTGGTCCCCCCCTTTTTTTTTTTTTTTATTTTTTTATGATTTTGAGTTTTGGTCCACATTGTTCTCCCACTCTATCCATGATTTCCTACTTAGATCCTCCTCCAAGTAGGTGACAGTGGTAGCCAGGCACCATCTAGTTCTTCTGGTCTCAGTCATATAGAGACTAATTGTTTTTATGCGTCTTTGGTTTTCTTCATTCTTCTTTGCTCTGGATGGCTACTTACAAGCTTTTAAGATCCCAGTTGCTACTTGCCAAAGTAGGATGTGGAACAGTGTTTTTGTGTAGTATGTTATGCCAATTGAGCTTGATGTCCCCAGGCCCATGGTTCTATGCTCGCAGGTCCAACTACTTGTTCCCTCTGAGTAGCTGGCTATGGCCAAGAAGTGACTGCAACCCTGTCCGTTGTCAACTCTACTATATACTTGGAAATTCTTACAGAATATACAAATACACTTGTAGAAACGTTGTCTGCCAACCCTAACATGGTCATTGGCACACTCCCCACTGCATAGACATATTAGGCTAAACCTAATAGTTCAGCCTGTTGACCCATCTGTCCCCCCATACATCAATGTTTGCCATCACTGACAATGCAGTATTCTGTGTGCAGAAGGGTTCATCTTTGTTGTCTGTACTTCCCATGCCTCTCTATATCTTCTTCTTCTTCATTGCCACCATGTTGATCAGTCATATTTGGTAGATTGCCCTTCCCTCCACCCAAATCAATACTTGTCTCTACCAATCTACCAGTGTTCCCTTCCCTCCCCTCTATTCCTGGGAATCAAAAAAAGAAAATTTCCTTCCATATATAAACCTTTCCTTGACTTTTTACAATAATGGATTAATATAATATTTGTCCTTCTGTGATTGACTGAGTTCACTCAGCGTAATGAACTCCAAGTTCATCCATGTTATGTGGTGTTTTTCAGATTCTACATTATTCTTTAGGGTTGCATAGTATTCCATTGTGTGTGTGTACCATAGTTTGGTTATCCATTCTTCTGTTGAAAGGCACCTAGGTTGTTTCCATCTTTTTGCTATTGTAAATAGTGCTGTAGTGACCGTGGATGTGTATATATCTGTTCTTGTGCTTGTTCTCATTTCTTTAGAATATATACCTAGTAATGGAATTGCTGGGGCAAATGGTATTTCTAATTTCAGCTTTTTGTGGAATTGCCATACTGCTTTCCACACTGATTGTATCATTTTACAGTCCCACCAGCAGTGTATGAGAGTCCTGATTTCTCTACATTCTTGG